AGGGATTAAAATAACCAAAGCACTTTAGAAAATGAAGAATAAAATTGAATGAATCATATTAAGTGAGTGAATGGATAAAAAACTGTTAAACATCCATGCAATGGGATACTGTGCAGCAATCAAAAGAACAAATTTTTGATATGTGCAGTTACCTGCATGGATCTCAAAGGTGTCATAATGAGTGGAAGAAGCTACTCTTAAAATGCTATATTCTGTATGGTTCCATTTAGATAATATTCTTCAAAAGACAAAACCATTAAGACTGCCTACGGTTAGAGGTAGAGGGAGAATCAAAATTTGAATTCGAACCCCCTGAGTGCAAGATGAACTTCCATTCCCACACAGTCAAGGTCATTATCCTTTACCTTTGAGATGAATCTGCTGCTGTCTTGATAGGGTGTAAAGGCGAGTGAGAATCACAGCTCTGGGACTTACAAAGGCCAGAGCCTGGTGCTGAAACCTCAGGGTTTCCACCCTATATATGCAGGAGGGAGGAGTAGCAGAAATGCCTTGGCCTTTCAAGGTGACATGCATCAAATTAGTAGCAGAATCACAGAGCTTCATTCCAGGGACAAGATGGCCTCCTTCCCACCCCCTGCTCCCCATGCCCACTCAGGGGCAGGCAAGCTTCTGCTCTGGCAGGTCCTGCAGGGCCCATGACTTGGCGAGAACCAGAGTTACTGTTTAGAGCATGCTCGGGATTATCTGTGAGCACGAACCCGCTGTGCATCAGGCAAAGCTGCCCTTCACCCCTTTGGGGCTAAAGGAGCCCAGGATGGTGTGACAAATCACACTTTGGGGTCACTTTACAGGATGACTTAGAGAGGCATGTTGTCCTATGGAGCTGCTAATCCATGCTTGGAACTCAGTGGTGACATTTCACAGCCTGCTTAGAGTGTCGCTGGCGGGGGGCCGCCTTGGGGGTGCAGGGGGGAGTCTGTCTTCCAGTAAAAGCCCAGAAACCATTTCAAGCAGCATGTTGCATTCTTGGGTTAAACATCTGGAGTGTGCCTCATCTGAGAACAGTTGGGTGGTCCTCAAACCCTGTTAGGCCACTATGGAGCATGCTTGTAACTTACATGAGTTGCCATCTCCATTACACAAGCCTAGGGCAGTGAGGGAATGCGGAAGCTGTGGAGGTATTTTTATTTATTATTTAAAATGGTCTTTATTGAGGAATAATGATTTACAACACAGTATATGTTTAGGGGTCTAGTGTCATACCTCTGCAAGTGCATGCTCTCACACCACACCCACCACCCAAGCACCAAAATCTTCCACCATAGTCCAGTGATCTCCCTCATTGGAGGTATTTTAATAAGTCTTTTCCCTCCCAATGTGAATGCCTAATGGAGAGCAGAACTAGATCATGCAGTTAAATGCAAACCAAAATCACAATGAGATTTCACCTCACACTATGTAGAAAGTCAAGAAAAAAGTGTTGGTGAAGATGTGGAACTCTCATCCACTGTTGGCAGGAATGTAGATTGGTACAGCCACTTTGGAAAACAGTATGAAATTCCTCACAAAATTAGTAAGGGAACTACCATATGATCCAGAAATCCTAATTGTGGATATTTATCTAAAGAACAGGAAAACACTAATTCAAAAAACCATAAGCATGTTTATGTTCATTGCAGCACTATTTATTTTTATTTATTTTATTTTTTAATTTTATTTTTTTATTTATATTTGACATCATTCTTCCATTTGTAGCACTATTTATATTAATCAAGATATGGAAATAACCCAGGTGCCTGAGGATGAATGAATGAATGGCTTAAGAAGACATGGGACACATGCACGGTGCAATACTGTATAGCCACAAAGCGATGAAACTTGCCATTTTTCAACGACATGAATGGAACTTGAGAGAATTAAGTGAAATAAGTCTAAAGGAGAAAGATAAATACCATATGAATTTCACTCGTGTGGAAAAAAAGCAAAAGCAATAAAACAAACATAAGAAAAACAAACCAAACCTTTAGACCCTTGCAACAAAACAGTGGCTACCAAAGGGAGAGGAAGCGGAAGGAAGATGGTGGTAGATGGTGATTGGACACTTGGTGGTGGGTGTCATGGGAAATGTACTGTTTCTCACCATACTCCTGAAACCTATACAGTGCTGTCACCTAATGTTACCTGAATAAAAAGAAAACGAAAAGATTACGCTTTGCACAAGGTAAAAGTTACAAAATTGATGGCCTGGGCTCGTCTCTCACCTGACCTTTCCACCCCTTTATGGATTTGATCCATGTTCTATAACCTTTGGATAAAGTGGCCTTTCGGGCAGGGAAGGACGCCAGTTGGGGCGCTGTCATGGATTACATCAGCATTTGCACCCAGTCTTCCCTGTCATTCTCCAGGGAAAAATGAAGAGTAGGGGAAGATTCTATGGCAGTGCCATGGGGACATTATTTTGGGCAAAGGCTTTTTGGGGTCTCTCCAGACACTAAGAATGAGGCTGCTGAGTCCAATCACGTATGATCTAGCACATCCTTCACTTTCCTAGGGCTACAGCTGGGGTAAGGCGGAGGTGACCGCAGGGCAGCCTCCTGACCCGTCCTGGGATTGGCATCCTGGAGGGGGCCAGTGAAATGACAGTGAAGGGCCCTTCCCTCTGCTCTGCTGCCAGGACATGGGGAGTGAGGACATGTGGAGGTCGAGGCTCCCTGATGCCCTGAGTTCGTGAGTGACCCGGCACTGGCCATGGCTGCAGCTGGGCGACCAGTGGGTGATACCAACAGTCAGGCTGACGGCCTCCACTGTCCCAGCAGGAACTTGTTCTCTCCAGGCTCCCCCAGTGCCAGACACCTGTGTCTCCTGGGCCCTAATCTCTCAGGTTTATAGGAGGAGCAGTGGAGGAACAAGCTCCAAGCCAGTGAGGGAAGCTCAGGGTAAAAGGCGAGTTTTTCCAACTTCACCCTGACTTCCTGAAGAGGGGCTGCTGGGAACCAGGAGTGGAGCAGAGCTGCCTGTGAACTTAAAAAAGATGGAGCACAGGTGGGCTCCCTCTTGGCTGGCTTCCTGCTCGCCCTGGTCTCAGCTGACACCATCTGTGGTAGGACAGGGACAGTTGGGACACGTGGCGACCAATAGATTTTATTCTCCTTTCTTAGCTCTCCCTTTCCTCAGTCCATGTTTAAATAAGTCCTTTTCAAATTCCCTTTTTCCCTTGTCTCTGTGTATCTGCTTTTGTGTCCTGTCCTGTATTTATAAGCATGTGGGTGAGGACTCACAAACCAGGTCACCCCCTTTTCCCTGGAGTTTGCCTAGAACAGGTTAAGGTTTTTATGGTGTTAACTGATTATTAGGGTGTGTGTGGGGTGTGGAGGGGCTGGAATGTTTGGGAGAGTCCAGGGTGAGGATGCGGCTCTGTGCTGGCCTTGAACTCACTCATCCTTATTCATCTGTAAAGTTAGGGGTAAAGTTAGGGGTTTTAAGGCCTCTCCAGCTAGGAGGTGGTTTCAAGAAGTGCTACTTGTCTCATAAGGATGATATTCAATGGTAAAGCTGCTGTGAAAAACAGTATGTTGGCACTTCACATAATTAAAACAGATGCCTCATGACTCAGCAATTCCTCCAGTGAGTATAAACACAAAAGAACAGAAAGAGGGACTCAGATACTTTCCCATCATGTTCCTAGCAGCGTGATTCCCAGCAGCCCAAAGGTGAAACAACTCAAATGCCTGCTTGCAAATGAGAAGCCTTCCTTTCATACTCAGAATTTGTTTTGTTCCTAAAATTTCCATGTCTTTAAATTTACTTTGGTAAGTTGGTAGGTAGGAGAAGAAATGTAACATCTGTTGAGAGCCTATTTTTTTTTTTTTAAAGATTTATTTTTATTTATTTATACAAGCACTGGGTACAGTCAGAAGCGCGGGAGGGTGAGAGAATTCACCAGAGCCAGAGTGGGGAGCAGAGCAGGCAGAGGGTCCAAAGCACACTGCTGAGGGGAGCAGCGGGCAGCAGGAGAGGGCGGCAGGAGAGGTCTGCGCGCTTCTGGGGTCCGGGGAGCAGCAGGGGATCGAACCGGCAGCTGCACGCAACTTTGCAACCCAGCGCTCAACCGCTGGGCCACCGGGGAGGCCCCTCATTTCACTTAATTCTAACACAGGTTGTAGGTTTTAACCCAGGATTGCAGATTGGGAATCGGGACCCATGCCAGGAAATGGCCAGCCCTGCCCTCCACCCTGGATCAGTTATCTCCACATTCTGAGTTCTTTGGGGTGTCCCTCACTGCTTCCTGCTTAGTTTCACCTTCTTTCCATTACAAAAAATCCCACCCATTTTGAATTTTGCATCTGCCAGGGAAGATTTGTAAAAACATGAATTGTGGATTGAGCAGTACTTAATAAAAGCAAATCTTGTCCCTTCCAGTGGAGAACATGTACCCAAGCCAGAAACAAAATGATGCCACAGTTGAACACCTGGCTCCAGACTCTTCCATATGAAAACAGATGTAATGTACCCACACCATGGAAAACACAAGAGGGAAAAGATCCAAGGCCACAAAGAACTAGCCACCACACCACCTAGAAATAACCACAGCTCACCTTTTGGTCAATATATTCTTCATTTTTACTGGGCATCCTTATATGCAACTTATTTGAAAAATGGGTACCACAGTACATAATTTTATTGTCTGGTTCACAACTAAAATACATTAACATTTTCTCTTCTATAGCAGTTAAAATAATTGCAAAGTGTAGAAAACATAATTAAGAATTCTTGCTGGGGAAATTTAGAAAACATTTTTCTCCAAGAAGACTTCATTCTTTTTATATATTGAGAAAAAAGGAAGGTGCTTGTTTCATAGCTTTTCTATGGATGATAGAAACTTGCCCTCCAACTTAGCTTTTTAACTTGCTTCTCATCATCTTCATCGCTTAAGTAATCCTCTATTTTTTCCAATCTGTCTCCCATTTACTTCCTCTTCTCTCCGTAGCCTGCCTGGTGCACCCACAACCTCCCCTTACCCCAGCATCCTGGCCCTCAAATCAACCCCTCCCCTCTCATTTACTCTCCTTAAAGATGCTTCCTTTCCTTTTCTTTTCAAGATATTGTCTTGATTGATTTGAAAAGTCTCTATTCAAGACTTCATCCTCAGCTTCACATTAGGATTAGCCTGAAAATCATCTGAAGATAGTATTTAATTGTTTAAAACACAGGAAGCCTTTGGTAGAGTTACACTTATCGAGAGAGGCAGGACTTGGGCACAATGCAGATAAAGCAGATATAGCTTACTTTTTAAGTTAGTTTTTTGGGGAAGGGCAGGCAGAGGAAAGTAACTGGTACCTCGAGGAAATGTTAGGGACCGTTATGAAAATGTATTCACTATTTTAAGGCAATTAAGGGGTCATCTCTCAGTCTGGACCCTGGAGGGACAGCCTTGACTGGCCGTGACATTTGCATGACAAATGTTGCAGGTAAATGTAGATCAACAGTAACTTTGTACAGCCAGGCACAGGCCAGCCAGCATTAGAGTGGTGCACGCAGACCATGTCAGCTCTGGTGTCCTGGAAGCTGCGAGGCGCTCATCCATCACAGGACCATCTGGAAGGTAGGGACACTTGATCATTTAAAGAAATCCCTCTGGCAATTTATCCTGCTGCCCACACACCTGTCATACCCACATGAGCCAAAAATCATCTGGGCCTCATATTTGACGAGTGGAGGAGGCTTATGGGATCCACAGTGCTGACTATATGGAATTCAGAGTCCCCTGAAAAAAAATCTTTCAGCAAAAGTTGCTGTGGACCTACTGTTAACTTGCTCTTCCAGGGGCCTGGCTCTAAGCCTGGCACCCTCCCCCGCCAGCTGTGGGTGGGGCAGTTGCTCAGGCTAAGATGACCAGGAACCAGCATGTCTGGGGAATCAAGTTCCAGGAAAAAAATAGAAAAGACCCAATCCTCGCCTGGGCCAGGGGTCCCATCTTGCACTCAAACGAAGCATTTGCTTTCAATTCTAGCATCTACAGTTGAGAACTATGAGAGGCTCGGAACTTGGGTGTCCTGGAAATCTGAGTCAGGTCAGGTCAGGGAGGGAAAACCCTCTCCCTTGCATTCTCCTCTAGGTCCCTGCCCTTCTGTTGTTTCCCTCAAATCAATAAACATGAGTAAGGAGAAAGAGTCCCGAGACCAACGCGGGGAGTGGGGGTCCCTGCAGGGTCCTTTGGGGTTCATGAAGAGATTCCTAAAGAACAAGAGTGGGGTCAAGTCTCTGGTGGAATTTAAGGGCATTTTGTGTGTCCCCAGCAATGCTGTTGGGGTGGGTGCTGAGCTGTTCCCCGGGATGGTCTGGGTCTCTCTGCCCAAAGGGAAGGGACATGGGAGAGCACTTCTTGGTGTTTAAGAGACAGGTCTTGTTTATTTCCCTTTTCTGAGTTCATATAATATAAAATGTCAATAGAGTTGAATAATTCTCCATCAGAGAGGCAGCACAACTAGGCACATTTCCAGGAAAGAGATTGCCAGGAGGCCAAGATGACTATCCTGTCTGGTGTTCCTGGCACTTTTACTAGCAGAACTTTGGCTGCCAGACTTCTGAAACCCACGAGCAGAGGGGACCCCATTAACTCGGTGCCCATGGTAGGGGGAAACAGGCAACAGACTAACCCAGAAGGGCACAGGAGGGGTAGCCACTTACCACAGCCGGGCAGGAAGGCCTGAGAGAAGCAGTGGAGCTGGCCATGCCAGCATTTACACATGGAGCACCTCCTGGGCAGCCAGGTACCGTGGGGTACAGGCCCACAGTTCCTGAGAGTAAAGGGGCAGAGTGATACGTATGTATTTGAAACCCTCTCCTTCCATTTCTGCCCCCCTACCCCCACCAATGGCTTACTCTTTGTGGACATCATGCTCGCAGTTTCGCCCATAAAAGGAGGGGGGGCAGGCACAAAAGGACCCGAGCATGCAGGTTCCCCCATTCAGACAGCAGGTTTTGTTTAGCTCCTTACCTGAAATGTAAGAAGAGGTGGCTGAGAGGGTGGGGAGGATGGAAGAGCTGAGTTCCCTTAGACCAGCAAAGGATAGTACAGCACTAAGGGCTTGATGGCCCTTCCCTGTTAGTAGAAGTCTAGAATGGTGAACTGCACAGGACTAGACTGCTTTTTCAGTGTTCCTTTTGCTACCCGTGCCTTTGAGCGAAAAATCTTTTTCATGCACAGGCCAGTGGTGGTTCTGGCTGTGCCCAGTGCGAAGTGAGGCCAGAGGAGGGAATCTGCATACTGGAGGAGACGTTTTGCCTCCACAGATAAGACCGGATTCTCACTCCAGAATCGGGTGCCCACTCTCATTGGTGAACAAGTGTCAGTGAGATGCTGAGGAAGCCCACGGAGGATAGTATAGCGATACCACAGTGGAACTAGAAAGTAGGCAGGTCTTACTGTCCTGGATTCCCATGGACGGCACAAACTGGGAAGAACGAAGATGAGTGGCAGGTTCCTCTTGGGGCCCAGTGCTGTCACTTCTGAAAGCCAGACCTGTGTGAAGTGCAAATTCACGGTGGCCCAACAACAAAATAAATTCTTGGAGTCAGTCTTTCAGGCCAAATGAAAATTGGTCAAAGGAACAAAGTTTCTCACCTGCAACTAATCCCAAACCAAACACTTTGGAAATGACCACAATCAACATCACACTGGGAAGAGGAAACCAGACATCAGTTAGCAGAACAAAGCAAATAAAACCTTTTGTTTAACACCTGGGTTTTCTCATCACAAGACCATAGAATCCAAGAAGTTGAGTATCTCCTTTCTTTTTCCTTTGTTTTTATTTCATTCATTCATTCATTTATAAAGATTTATTTATACATGCACTGGGTACAGTCAGAAGCGCGGGAGGGCGAGAGAATTCACCAGAGCCAGAGCGGGAAGCAGAGCAGGCAGAAGGACCGAAGTACACTGCTGAGGGGAGCAGCGGGCGACAGGAGAGGTCTGCGCGCCATGCGGGACCCTCCTCCGGTGGCCGGGGAGCAGCCAGGTATCGAACCGGTGCTGCAGAGGCTGCGCAACCCAGCGCTTAACCGGGGAGGCCCTTCCTTTGTTTTTAAATGGCTGACTAATTCATGTAACAGCCTAAAGAAAAATGATAATAAAAGCCACCCAACACTCAATATGAATATTACTTTTCAATCTGAATTATTACTTCTTAGGCTCTATCCTCAATGCTCATAATTTTAAGTAGAGATACTTTTCGTGTTTTCTCACGTATTTTCCTCTGCACATTGTTTTCACATAAGAATTTTAAAATGGCTGTTTGACAGTCTATGTAACTGATCACATTTTATAAACGATTTTGTTTAAACCAGTCATTGAAAGATTTTCAGGTTAAAAAAAATGCCCCCATTATCCTTAATGATTTTGCAAATATTGTACCTGTTTATACCTTTGATCTTTTCAGAAGCAGATTTTTAATTTGGTTGCAATACTGACCTTTTCTTCTACAAGAGTAGGGAAACACTAGCCATTTCATAGGCAGAGCCACTAACCTGAACGAAACGGTTAAATATTAATGGCCGAACGGAATATAATTGTAAGTGGGAAGTTCCAAGTCTTTTAGGAAAAACAGAAGCACATTTAGCAGTTTTGAAGGCTGAAAAAGAGAAAATCAAGTAACAGGTGTAGAACATGATTTCCTAAGCTGCGAAGTTCACGTTCCGGATGGGCTCTTACCTGCAGGGCTCCATCTTCCTGCGTCCGCAGTCCCAGTGATGCGGGGGGTGGGGCGGCGGCCTGTTAGTGTGGCTTTAATTCGCCGTCATTGCCCAAACACCTGAAGGAAAACGTCAGTTACCTGAAGTGAAAATGGAAATTTAAAAAGAAAAATATGCCCAGGAGTCATAGGCTTTCCCCAGCGGGTGTTTGGAGAAGCGGGGGTCAGGATGTTGGGGGGGGGGGGGGAGCTCTTCAGGGTTGGGTCCTAAGGAATGTTTTAACCCTAAGCCAGGGACTCAGCTTTCCCGGGGACCCTCCTCCCTCTACAGCAGATCCCTGGGGTGCAAGGAGGGCTCTCGGGAGGGCGGGGGAGGGTTACTGTGCTTATAACCCCCAGGGGTGGAGGGTAGAGCTGTGGAAACAAAGAGAGAATGGAAAAGGAGGAGTCTTGTAAAATTGTGGTTAAGTAGCCCTACTGTGGCTATCGTTAATTTCCGGTTACAAACATCAGATTTACTCTTTTCTGGGAGGAAAAAAAAAAGAAAAAGCAAGTCAATGGCTATTCAGTTGGTGATTCCAGTTTGGAGGAGAGGTGAAAGCTAATTGCTTTAATCAGGATTAAATAGGGATCTCTCAAAGCATTTGACATTTTATTGTCAAGTTTTATTTCTAGAAATTTGTCTTTATCTTTGTTTTTCCAGGAAAGGTGTGTGTAGCCTGTGCTCAACCTTGGGGCACTTAGGTGACAAAGGAGGGTGTGCTCTGCACCCTGGGAGTTGGGTGTGTGGGGAGCAAGGCTAGAATGTTCACAAGTGAGATACAAGTTCAGGATCGGAGAGGTTTCCTGACCTGATGTGAGTGTAAATCCTAGGAGGACCTGAGTTGCGGGTGGAGGCTGGAAGTAGGAGCTGAAGCCTGGAGCTGGGGTGAGGTGGGGTGGTCAGGGGCTGCGACAGAAGCTCAGGTCTGCTATAGGGGAAAGCTGTAACCTCAGCACTCTGGCATAGGCGGCCACTTTAGCCTTTACCATTGGGGTTCACTTGTATTTTATCTCAGTCTCCTAGTAGCCACCATGGAGCCTCTCCCACTCAGATATTTGGTGGCTTCACTAACCGCACACAACACAGCTGATAGGCCCATCCACCTAACAGTTCTAGAGATGACTTACTTTCTTACCATGTCTGAAGTTATGAGTAATTTCTAAATATCCTTTAATACAATTTCTAAAGTAAAAGTCTGGTGTTTACCCTATATTGCTAGGCACTCAATTGAGAAATTTCTATGTCATTCTGTTGTCACTTGTGGCAGCTCCTGCCTCCATGGTTGGCAATGACACTGTTGCCACCATTGATCGCCAGTAATTGGATGAAATAAAGAGTGGCTGTACTGTGGATGCTTACAAATAGAGTACGTAAGACCCTCTTCCCCTGTGCGCTGGACTGGTCAGCCAATGACGGGTAAGATCAGGAACAGACCTTTGGTTTGTGACTCCTGACGACCTAAGACAGGCGCAGTCCCCAAGGGGATTTATAAGTGTCCCCCCTTTTTAACTCTATGGAAAATAACTGCTAGAAGACAATAGCATTGAGTTTCAATAACCTGCTCAACTTGCTGAGGTCACACATTTACTGTAAAACTAGTTTGACTGCTTATGGAAAATGCATCAGGAATCTGGTGGGTGTGGGGAGCCTAGAATTAGGTTGTGCTGTAAAAACAGTCACAGTAATAACAAAAATATGTAGGTCAACATAGATCCTAAGTACAAGAGAATTCTGAATAGTTGAGTCGGTGGTTAAGCTAGGGTTAATTACCAAAAACCTAGAGGTCATGAATAGCGGAGAGAAAAATGGGACCTCTTGCAGAGGTCTCGGTATGTACCTGATTCATCGATGCTTGTGCATGATCAAAAGCTAGATTTAGTGCATATTGTCTTCGTTATGTTTCACTGCATGTAATGATTTGGTGGTCTGGTGTATGATTAACCACATAATGTACAAAAGCAACCTTATGCAATGTCTATGAAAATGCATAATAGAGCATAATACTTTCAATAAATTACACTCAGATTTTCACTCTCCCTTGAGTGTGTCTGTGTGTCATTCTTTCTTGTCCCTCGCCCTAATTCCTTCGACCACCTTTTGCTCGTTCTCACTCAATCCCTGAGACTGTCTCGATCTCCCGCCGCCGCTGGGCTGGTCCGCGGTAGTCACTCATCTCTATTCATCGGTTTTACCTGTGGCAGAAGGGCTCGGCATTAGTGTGTACCTCTGCGATTTATCTGTACCTTGGGAGATGAGAGAATTCAATTCAAAATTTTCTTTTCCATAACCACTGCAGCTGGCTGTTTAATTCTTGATGCCCTTCAACAACTTGTGTGGCCTTTCAACTTGTTAAATGCTTCCAGTGTCATGCTGAGATTCATGGGGAATTAGGAAGAACTTGGCTGAAGCTCTGGAAACCCGCCTGGGGGAGGGCAGGGCAAAGGAAAAGCCCAGGGGCTAAGGAGGCAGGGTGCATTAGCTCTTTGCTGCAGTCCTCAGTGTGCATGGAGGTAAGGTGCGTTGGCATCACGAGCCTCACTTTATGGAGACAGCTAATCCCATTTGTGGATTTAAATGTTTTTTCCCGCAGAGGCTGGGCCAGTCTGTGGGAGAACCGGCAGCAGGACACCACCTTATACTCCTTCTCCAAAGCGGCAGTGGTGGAACGCTGTTGACTTGAACTTGGACCCCTGGAAATTACCTCCCCATTTTCAGCAGCAGGAATGGTGGCCCCGACTCTGGTGACGTTAGTATGTCTGGGGTTCACCTCAAAGTCACAGATGTCAGTCTTTCTCCCCCACAGAATTTCTTCTGGTTCAAGGATGAGGACTCAAGGAAAGCTCTGCGCTCCCCATGGCACAGAAGGCGAGATTCCGTGCATACAGGATAGGCAGCCTGGGCAACATGTTGGAATAGGAAGGGGGAGTGGAGAGGGCTGCTTGAATGGCCAGATATTTGCTATTGGGCTGGGGACCCAAGGACTATCCATTCAATAGGTGTTTCATCAGGTATTTACTGAATGTCCTTCTGTGGCCTATCCAGGGCGGGGCTCTGAAGACACAGTGGTGCAGGCGACCCCCTTGTGTGACAGGGAAGAATTACAGATTGTAAGTGATAACTGCAAAAAGTTGCTGCTGCCCCTGGGTGGAAGACTTGATCATGACCCTTGGATGGCCTCGGACACCTCTTCATCATTGCTGAACCTGGCAGAGTTGCCCAGCCTCTGACCGGGGAGTGCTGTGGGCAGAGATCCATGGAGGGCCAGGCCTGAGCTTAGGGGCTTCCCTGACCTCAGCCCTCATGGAGGACACTGATAGCTGAAACTGAAAAGCAAAAACTCCCGATCTCAGGTGGTCTCAGTATTGTGCTGCGCTGCCGTGATTTAGAAAAGGGGTAAGAGAGAGAATCATATTTAAAATGATACAAAGGCCTCCCTGGTAGCGCAAGGGGTTAAGCACAGGACTATGAAGCTATCCACAGCCACTGCAGCACAGGTTCGATCCCTGGCCAAGGAGGTGACCCACATGGCGCAGCAGACCTCTCCTGTCTCTTCTGCTGCTCCCCTTGTTACAGGGCAGCCCCGATACAAAACGGGTACCCTCAGGTCTCAGCCACCTTGCCTTTGGTGGTGACGGGATTTGTCTTTCCCAGTGTCTTGATGACTTTGGTCTGGAGTGCGGGTGGAGACCACAAAGCCTGCATGGAATCAGCTCAGGACATCCTTTCCCCCTAACACCCTCAGCAGCATATTTCAGTCAGTCTGTCTGTTCTGCTCCCCAGTCTGTCTCTGGTGAATCCTCTCACCCTCTGCACCTCTGGCCTGTACCCCAGTTTTTGTATGCATAATAAATAAATCTTAAAAAAAATAAAGTCATACAAAGAAGCATGACTTGAAACCATCCAACAAATAAAGAACAAATAAAGAAACAAACAAAAAATACCATAAGCAAAAGACAGGCTTCCTATGTCCAGCTAAATTCAAGGAAGAAAAAAAATGTGGAGACAGGAGAGATTTTGACATTAAAAAGCCGAATTAAAAAAAAAGCCAATTCAACCGTATTTCATTTGTTGAGAAAAGAAAATTAAAATTTGATTAACTAGACAGTTAATCAAAAGCAGAGTTATTTCTGCAGCACAATGAAAGCCTGTCTTTATCACGGCATGCCTAGGGGAACCTTGTGTCTTACCTCTGTTATTGTCCCGGGAACTTTCCGACAGGTAGGATATGGGAGAGATTCGTGAGCTGGGCGGGGGGATTCCTGCAGCTGAGGAATGGTGGAGCCTCTAATCCCAAGCTCAGCTACCAGCAGTTTCTGATAAACTTGCAGAAGAAGTGTCCTGGCCCATTCATTAACAAGTTAATGGCTTTCTGTTTTCATTGGCGAATTTAACAAATAGCAACAGGAAACCTCTGTATTTGCCACAGACCTCTGCGTGGGGTTTAGAAGAATAGATTCTTGCTCTCGAAAATCTGCCATCTCAGGGGGAAGACAACCTCAAATGAGTCATTTTAGAAATTTATCTAAAAGGAAACTGTGTAAGAAGGATGTGAGTGTATCTGTATCTGTGTGAGTGTATCTGTGTGGGGACCACGATGACATGGATTCCTGTATAGAGAGAGCAATGAACTTGGTGAGTTTCTGTTTGGCAGTGACCTCCCATGGACCTAGTTTTTAGTAAATGCATGAGAGTATATGCAGCTGATAAATTTCTAGCATTGGAATTGCTCGTTTAGAGAGTGGATGTTTCCAAACTATTTTCCCAGAAATCTGCATTGGTCTGCGGGCCTCACCCCCCTCATCCTGCCGCCCCCAGCCCTGCAGTCCCTTCTCCTATGTCTTTACCAACTGGGGGCAACAAATATCTTAATGTTTGCTAATTCCGTATGTAAAAAATAGTATCTCGTTTGGATTTTTAATGTTTTCTGGATGTTATATTTTTTTTTTCCCTAAGACCTGACAGGTAGAGGGAAGTTGAGCTGGCTTTGCTTT